GCGTGGCTGGCTGTTTCGCTCGATATGGCAGCCCAGCTCGGCAGTGCGGACCGCTGTCTCTCTGCGCTGGGGACCCTTTAATCCCTTCTCACTAAAGGCCTGAGGTCAGCCTTTTAACTGCTCCCTCTTAAAGGGCAGATATCACCCCGTGCTTTCCCAACCTCAGCTGAGACCCAGTGTGTCATTTGTATTACCTATACAGAAAAATATTTACAAAGCTAGGAAGGGTAGAGTTATCTTGCAGCCAGAAACAACACGGGTGTATATTAAAGATAAAGCAAACTGAATAAGACAATCCCTTAGGATATCAACTACTAAAATAATTGTGAAAGCCTGGAAACTTGCTGTTTGATTTAGCAAAAAGAGAGAGAAGGATCTATATTAAGTAATAAAACAGCACTTGTTTGAAAATGTACATTGTTTTTAATAAAATCGCTTCTTAAGGGGATAAAAGGAGAAGCTTATGCACGGTATAAACATTCAACCACTATGCCACTTACTTAGATTTTCTTGCCTTGTTGATAAAAGTTGTGTGTTTGATCTCGGAAATACTATTCGCATAAGCAGTTACATTGTAATCTCTGAATATGACTTGTAAGACTAAGGATTGGGAGACTGGGCCTGAGTTTCGTCTCTGCTCTTCTACACGGTAATTGTTGTAGATGCATAAATGTGTAGCTAAGACACAAGTTTTCAAACTGTATATACAAAGCCTCCAATCTTGTAAGAATTTAATGTGCTGGGAGTAGTCTTGAATCTCTTTGGGATTGGAGCCTTGAATGGGACTGCTCACAGACCATAAAACATGAAAGGATGTGAATAGGGATGAGGCAAGAGCCCTAATTCCACTAGCATTTGTGTCAGATCTCACAAGAAGAAGATCACTTAAAGCAATGGCTTCTAAACCGGGTGTTGAGACCTACGCAAAGTCTCCACAACCACGAGTGGTACTGCGAAGTGGGCAGAATTACAGTTCCTCCAATATTTACACTGTTTGGCACAGTATTTGGTGCTTCTTAGGGTGTGCAAGTGAGCTGCAGCTGGAAGCTTGGGAACCACTACTGAAACGCAAAAAATTGTCGAGGGGAGACTTGCAAAGGGAAATGAAATGTAGTGATAGCAACTGCTTGTTTTGCTGCTGTTGTTTTTTAATAATAACTGGTGGTTTGTACCATATGACAAGAAATTTGCTGATCCAAAATATCTTACTAACCAGTGCTTCCTGTGCTGTGAAGCAAAAGAATTGTCAACAAAAACAGTAGCTGATAAATTTACTTTTGATTTTAAACATGATCTTACAGAGTACTGTACTCCGGTGGTAGATGAGAAAAACATTTCTGTCCCTGGGGCTCAGTGCCTCACCTTTTAAGAATGTTTCTGAAGCCATGCTTGCAAAACTTCATTTTAAGCTCTTGTTAATTATTTACATCGTGATTTGCTTTATCTTATTCTTCTGATGTGCATACTGGCTCATTTTTATTGCCTGAGTTTTTGGAATGCAGCACGTTCCCTTCTAATAATAATAGTGCAACTTATTTAGAGCTGTGCATCTTGGTGCTTTATAAATATTAACTAAATAATCCCCAGCACAAACACAGAAGTAGGTAAATATATTTGTTCCCTGTTTATACGTCGGGATACTCGAACGACAGACCCTTTCCGAGACCACGGGCAAGAGGGGTCAGAGCCAGAAGGGGAAATACAGATTTCCTACCTCCAGATCTCTTTGTCCTTGCCGAGGCTGGGTTCGACAGCGTGACGTTAGGCGCTTCCAGCTAACGCATTCTGTCGTAACGTTTGCAAGTGTGACGAGACTTCGGTGCATGCTAAGGTCAGGTCAGCAGTGGGGTATTTCTGCACTTAGCTAAAATGCTTTCCTTCTCCCCGATCCCCCCAGTCCCTTAGTCTAGCTATTGCTAGAGGTTTGCAGCCCTTGTTTTTGGGCAGCAGCTGCTGCTCCTGGCAGAGCTCCTCTGCGTTTGCCCTTATCTGGCGCTTTTCTCACTTTGCCCTTGTGACGGTTCTGGCTAAGCTGGTCAAGTTAATCCTGTGCTATGTCACCTACTTAGCGTTTTGTCTTGTCCGCACTTGACTCATGGAGCACGTTCATTAAAATTTGTCAGCTAAACCGCTCCGATGTCACGTCATTGGCGCTTTGAGTCAGACAAAGCCAGAGCGTTCCTTCCACCTCTCTGTCCACATCCCACCGTCCCCTTATCCCCCGTCTCTGCTCACACACATACAGACACACGCGAGATATGCAGGGAGCTACTAAGTCATATTTCAATTCTGGTTCAGCAATAATGGTCCTTTTTTTTCTTTTTTCTTTCCTTTTTGTTCTTCAAATTTACTAAGCCTTTGTTTATAGCTTTGCAATTCCCCCCCGCCCCGCCCTGGATTTTTCTTGGTAACACAAAATATGAGCAAGAATACACGTACAAAAAAATGCTGTGCTTTGTCTTGCAGCAGCAGCAGCAACAGCAGCAACAGCAACAACAACAACAACAGCAGCAACAGCAACCAGGTCCCAGACTACCCCCAAGGCAACCGACAGTAGCATCACCAGCTGAATCTGAGGATGAAAATCGTCAGAAACCCCGACCGCGAACAAAGATTTCTGTTGAAGCCCTAGGGATCCTACAGAGTTTCATACAAGATGTAGGCCTGTATCCAGATGAAGAAGCAATCCAGACTCTCTCCGCTCAGCTTGACCTGCCCAAGTACACCATTATCAAGTTCTTTCAGAACCAGCGATATTATCTCAAGCACCATGGGAAGCTGAAGGACAATTCTGGTTTGGAGGTGGATGTTGCAGAGTACAAGGAAGAAGAGTTGCTCAAGGATTTAGAAGACAGCATCCAAGACAAAAATGCAAACACGCTTTTTTCAGTTAAACTAGAAGAAGAGTTATCGGTAGAAGGGAACACAGAGATTAATGCTGAATTGAAAGACTGATCTAAAAGTATTATTTTCTTTCAACAGTGCCACTGGTATTTACTAATGAAATGAAAATTCCATCTTGCGTTCTGTCAAAAACCTTTATTATTCATTGTTTGGCCAATGAATCTTCCAAAACTTGCACAAAAGTTGAAAAAAGGATAATGCAGACTGCACTAGATGTTTTACTCTGTTTTACAAACTGCTTCGCAGCAACAGATGAAGCGTTGAGGATTGTTTGATATTAATTTGTGTTCACTGGATACACTGTGAGTGTACCCAATAAGCATGATACCAGTGATTTTGATTCTGGAGCCTTCAGACAAGCATTACAACTTTTGTGATTTACTGTTTTTTTGTTTCTGTTTTGTTCTTGTTTTTTAATTATTACTGTAGCACTCCACACTTGATCTTTGGAAACTCACATTTATTTAAAAAAATAAAATAAAAAGAGTTTGTTACTCTTGTTCTATTGTATGTTACAAAAGAACTATAGACTGTGGAATGCAGTTTAAAGATAACATATGCCAACAAATGCCTTGTATTATATGGCACTGCCGTAATTCAGATTTGTTTTCTTTTGGAAATAAAGGTCACTGTATTTTTTTTTTTCCATTCTCATTGTTACATGGTTTTAAAGAAAATGAAAAACAAAATGTGAAACACAATTTAGTCCTCATTATTTATTTGTAGATCCTGCAGCATCATGTTGTAATTAATTTTTTTGGAAGTTTCCGTTAAATGTAATATTGCTTCTCTTGTTATCATACTGATTTTTTTTCTATTTATAAATGTATTTTGATGGGCAGTAAAACAAAGTGTCTTAAAAGTTTTAAATAGAGAAAATGTGCTTTACACAGTTGCCTATAAAAAGTGCTCTATGTTATCCAAGCAATTCATACTATAAGCTTCACTCTTATTGTTGTATGCAATTTTTACTATCATGCAAATAAGCTTAGGTAAATAAAACTAATAGATCACCTTAGAAACTTATGCAATTAATGTGAAAATAATTGATGTTTGCAATGTGTCTTCCTTTGGTTTACAATCAATTTTAAAGCTACAGCTGTATAAATTTTCTGTATAAAGGTGTATTTCTTTTTTATGAGTTTATTGCTATGAAAACACCAGTTATTTTGTTACAGCTGGCTGTTTTTATAAGTGTATCACAATTTTCTTTATGCAGAAATGTTCTGACTAGGAGTGGTTATTCACTGTAACTACACAATTAAAATTGTTTGTATGGTATGATATGGCAGGGTTTGTCTGCGTATGTGTATATCTGGGAGGAATGACTTGTTCTTAGTGCACATTGTACCTTCTTGCCACCACTTTGAAGATGATATTTCAATTGTTCGCCTTTAAAATCACAGGCAGATTTTTTTAATGACCTTCTTAAAATTTGAATTTAGATAACATACTTCAAAAAGAAACACAGTTTGGTTATGAAAATCATAACCTGTCTTTTCTTGGTTTAAAAACTTGCCTGCCCAACAGAGATAGCAGGATATTATTAAGTCAAAAGGCTATCAGGCATAAACATATTTACAGTTCCTGGCAGTAATGCACTTATAATGGATACAGCTGGTTTTCTTTTACACTAGAATTATGCTAACACTATTCCTTGCACTAATGTAGAAACATTAAAAAACCAACATTAATAGTCACAAAGTAAATAGGAAAGATGGGCTTTGCGCATAGCAGCCCCCTTCTAAGCAGGATTATTTTTAATGATCACTAATAAGGTTGTTGATAAAGCCATAATAATTGGTGAGCTCTGAATTTATGCAAGGCTCATGACTAGGCTAAAGAGAAGCCTGCAGCTGAGAGTCGTGGAGTACACACTGTTGTTCTCTTTTCCTAGGAGAAAAACAGCTTACACCCAGTTCGGTTCGGGATTCACATTCAGCTCAGTTCTTCCAGAGTGACTAAAAGTTTGCAAAACTCAAGGTGAGTTTCAGAGATGCAAATGACTCAGGTTGCAGCAAGTTTCTCGGTTTAGTTCCATTAAGTTCCTTAGAAAGATACATCCTGGGTAACAAAGCAGGTTTCCATTCCCCACACTCGAAACTGCTGCAGGTCACCCAGCCCGTCTGTCTCGGTGCCCTTGGGGTTCATTGAGCAGCTCCCAGCCGCGGCACCTCTTGGCTGCTGCTGGGACTGTGTTTGGGCTGCACCATGATTTGGGCTTGGGATCCAGGCCAGTTAAAAGAAAAGAGCCTTAGTACCACTCTGGGAGGGAAGCAAGCCTTCGGAGGGACACGGATGTGTAATTCGGCGTTGCATTCCAAGGGAAGGACAGTCAGACTGTGCCCTCGTTTAAGGGACTTGCAGTAGCTATAAAGCTATTGATGGCCCAGAGCTATGCTGGCTGCAGAAGGGCAAGGCCTAGGCCTGGTCCAGGGAAGCCCCTGTGGTCACCGTTGGATCTCTGCACTTATTTCACATGGGATCGTTGCTTTGTACAGCCACGCAGCCACTCAGAGCCAGGACGGGTCCCCGTTCACAGCCATGGGACAGGATGGAATGTGGCCCAGGCAACGCAAGCTGGTTTGACAGGCAGGTGGTACCACTGGCACCCTCGGGCTGGCTGAACTGCCAAGTGGCCATTACAATAGGGCTGCTGAAGAAAAAAAACCCCACGCTTTTAAACTATAATACGTGTGCATATGCAGGGTAGAAGGGGAAGTGAAGGAAAGACTGTCCTGGAATATACCTCGCTTCATGCTAAAAGCTAATACACACAGCACTCCTAATACTAGAAACGGGGCAATGAGTCCAACACCCTATAAAAGCATAAGAAGAAATATTTATAAAATTGTCTTTTTTATTTTGAAAGTGATTTCCTTTTATCCTTTTAAGTTTTATGGATGCCGAAGTAGAGGCCACGTGTGCTTGCAGGTGGTTGTTATAGCTGTTTCTTTTCCATTATCTTATTTTTCTTTCTCCTAGCCTAGCTGAGGTTATCTTCCAAGTAGCTCAGCCTCTGTAGTCACGTATTACCTGCACAGAGGTTTGAATCGGTGCATTTTTGTGTCCCAGTGGGTGGGCTGCAAGTACAGTCTTTTAACGTGGCCTCGGTGACCAAAAGCTTTTTTGTTAAATCCTGAGCAGCGTTTTCAAAGGTGATACGGGTATTAAGGATCCCAACTTAATGTAGATGCAAGAGATTTATACTGTTAGGAGTTAAGCCACTACAAGCATATGCCACCTTGACTCATGGACTGGTTAGACTACCTAGAAAATGGCCTCTGTCCTTTTTTGTTCCTTTTTCTCACCATCTGGCATAATCCTACAAAATACCCCTTTCCATTTCTGCAAAGATTAAGAAATCAGACTGGACTTCTGTAACGAAGAACACAAATTGAGGCATCAAAACACTATCAGACTGGACTTCTGTAATGAAGAACACAATCTGAGGCAACAAAACACATCAAAATCAGACTGGACTTCTCCAACGAAGAACACAAATTGAGGCATCAAACAACTATGGAAGTTGTTGGTAAACCTCACTAAGTAGGACTTCACGGAGAGCGTATGAAATGAGTATTTCCTATATACTTAGGGAAGTATGGGGAAAGAATAGTGCTTACTAGGAATAAAATTTAAACTGCAAAGCCAAATGCCTAAAAAAGAGGGAACTGAGTGCTGGGTGGGGGTGGCAGAACTTAGTTTTTCCTATAAAAGTGAAGTTAAGTATTTGCCATGTTTTATGGTGTTTACCATAAGAAGTGAAGTATTTTTACTCCCTCCTGATTCCCATTAATCTATATTTAACTGACAAGATTTATGTTTATATGCTAGAGTGTGTGTTTTTCAAACCTGAAAGAAAACGAAAGAGGCCCCAGATTCCGGGAAGTCCATGGCTTGGGGACAGTCTCAAGCCTCAGTCACACATACAAACATTGCTTATCATTATAAAGACTCCCTACCCTACAATGCAGGATTTTAGATTTGTGTTTTGTATGGATACTTTAAGTTGGTCAGATGATGCAGAAAAAGTGTCCAGGCTCTGAGGTAAATTATTTTGCTTAATTTTTTCTTTAAGTTGGGACAGTGCAGCAAATGGAGAAAGAAGGGGAGGTTCACCCAAACCGGTGATTTTGTTTCAGTGATCTCCCGAGTCAGTACTTTGGTTGTGTGCTGGGAAAGCACCAAACGTTGTGAAGTTCATTTGCCAGAGCAAATGCCCCATATATTAAGAGCAGTATAGATCAGATACCACAGAAGATCTACTTGAGCATCAAGTATTAGCAATTCTGCTTAACTTATTGAACTTTTGTTTTGATGTCAGGTACGTTGCAGAGACCAAAGATATTTTGATTTTTACATAATGATTTATATTGTGCTTTGAATAACAGTCCCATAGCAAAGCAGGGATATAAATATACTCCCAGGCCTTTTTTTGCACAGAGATGTAATTTTAGTTTGGTCTCCTCACAGTGCCTTGCGTCCACATGGTCCTTTACTACAACAAATGAGCTAATAATTCAAACTGCAATAAGTGATCCTCCTTGGAGCAGGAGAAGCACTACTTGGCAGCGAGTTTGTTTGCTTTCAGGTTCATACGGGAGCCTTTCTGCCCGCTCTGCTGCTGGCAGTCCTCCCACTATCGCACGCCGCATTGATTCGCATTGGCCTGACCCGGGCGCCCTTCCTGCTCTGGGTCATCTTGCCCAAATGTCATCTCTCCTGGTTACATGCCAGCACACAGGTATATGTGCCACCATTTAGCACGAGGCAGCAAGGACTGTATGTATCTGATGTCACCTACCTTTTGTCATCACCATTCATGCCGTGAGCCCTACAGAGTTGCTAGAATAGGCCACTTGCTTTGGAAAGAGAGTGACAACTGGAGCAAATCCACCAGAAGGCAAGTTGTTTCTGAGCTGCTGGAGTAGAGGGGGCAAGGGGACATGCATCCCGGAGGGGAGCAGGAAAAGGAAAGAGGAAGGTGCCAGAGGAATATGAGAGCATCAGTAAAGTCAGTAGCTACCCTTGCATGGAGGAATGGGCTCCTTTTGCAAGCCATGCTACACTGATACCCAGAAATACTTCAAGGTACTGCCAAGACTCCATACAAAATGTTCCTGACCTGAAATGACAACGGCCTCCAATCCTGGGATTTGCCTTGGCAGGCAATATCTAGGTTAACACAAAAGCTTCCTCAGCTGTCCGTGGCAAAAGAGGTCCCCTAACAGTTTGTCCTCTGGTACTGTCCCTGCGTGTAGGACATGCAGGATTATTTTCATCAGCTGCAGACTGACAGCTACCGTGGCAGCTGCAGTTAGGACACTCCACATTACTTGCTTACCCACACAATATGCTAAAGCAACATCTAGGCTGCAAAAACCTCTCCTTTTCCTCCAGGATCACATCCAACCATAAGCAGCATGTTTGCAGCCTCAAATCTAGTTTTCTGAGCTGTCTCCTATAGCCCAGCTCCTCCTTGGACGAAATGTACCACAGGAGTTAAAAAAATGCAATGTGTTTTATGGCTCAGATATTAACATAGTGCAAGAGAATAGAAAAAAACATGACCTCTGTGGGTGCACAGAGTTATATAAGCATGCACAGTTCTGAAGTTTTGGGGCAAGTAAGTTGGCCCAAGAGGCTTCAGAGAGAGATTTCATACTGCTATAGTCATCTCAAAGTATCAGTCTCAATGATTTGAAATTGTTTGGGCAAGAAAAATTCGTGCAAAGTCCTACTAACTTTGTGGGGGAGTTTCTCCCAGAACAGAATTTAAAGCAACAAGTGCTCTGTTTTGTTATTCTCATTACAAACTTAACAGCCTTTGCAGGACCAGCCTTGCAGATGTTGTTGCCTTTCCACATTCACATTAAAGCAGGACACCATCATGGTAAGCAGCAGCACTGTCCGCAGCTATAAGTCCCTTCTTCACCCATCTTGAGGGGGCTCCCCTGCATGCTTAGGTCTTCTTTACTCTCCTGTCATCAACTTAAACACAGCCCTTCATCCACAGTCAATGTATTTACCTGGGGAAAGCAATTTAGAAAACAACTTATCTTAGACCAAACCATGTCAGGGAAAGGTAGACAAGGATGATCTTTCAAAAGTATAGGAAAAGTGATTCTTTATCATTATCGGCATGACAGCTT